CACAGCCCGCTGACAGCAACAAGTGACCGCGCCTGCCGCCAGGGCGTTTAGCTGTGAGGCTGGCGTCCGGTACGGCCACGAATAAACCCTATTTTCCTTTTTTATTTATTTTCTCTTTTTTCCTCCTATTCCCATAGAAAAAGTGTTTGCCAGCCTCCCGCAGGTTGAACGAGGCGTTTCCAAAATTATCGGAGGTGATCCTAAGGGCAACAATTTTCTTTATACCAATGGAAAATGTGTCGTCATCAGAAACGTTGATGTAATGTATCCTGATTTATTTCGTTTCGTAGCGTAGAGCTTTCGCTAAGTTTCATTTTGTTTCCCAGCCCCTCCTTCAATAGCCCGTGTTCAATTCTCACTTTGTAATTTCCACTGAGGTCACGGATCTGTGATCCGCAGCAGGGGAATAAGCAGGGTGCATGACTCAGGCAGAAAACCATGGGTAGAGACTGCAGAAACCTGTAGGAAATCTCAGTACAATGTGCAGTTCTGTCCTTCTCTTTGCATGGGAATTACAGACGGGAGACTGGTACATTCAGGTTGGCCCTGTTCATCTTCTCAAGTATTGCTGTTAGGAAGTTGAGTGTTGTGTTTGCCTAATAAATGAGCACTTCCCCGTTTGCTGTATTGGGCCTTCAGCTTGTAAGAGAAGCATGCAAATAGTTGCAAACCCCATCTTCAAATGTATTAGTCTGTAGCTTCTTCCTCCACCCCTGCACTCCAGGAATCAAAACAGTTGTCAGCTGCTTTCAAGCTGCATGCATGTTGAGTTCTCAGCCCCGGTCACAGGGAACTTTCTTCATCGATTAGCTATTAGAATGCCCCAGTTAATGTTTTCAGTGTTGTGGAGGTTTGGGTTATTTAATTCACTGGTGGTAACTAGAGAAATGTTAAGTGAGTTATTTAAATGACTTCTTTTCAAAGATGGCATCCCTTTGAGAAGTATGGGGGAAACATTACATGTCTAGGCTATTGTGTTGCTACTGCTTCTCAAAAATGCTTTTGTTCAAAGTAAATGCCTGTTCTTTAGAAAATCAGATTCTCCCCTAGATTTACTTTCCTCTCTTACTGCAGATTTGGCCTGCAGTGAGGAGGGCTGCAGGGGGCCAGGTCATACCTCTCTGGAATTTTTAGGTCTCCACAACACTGGATTTGTTTATGGCTGCTTCTGTGAATCACCTATATAAACTTAATTTTTTATGAGCTCTCTTCCTGATTTATCTCACTGCTCCCATTATATTCAGATGATCTCTTCATTGTCATGCTGTAATACAGAAATGCTATTAGTAACTTCTTTTTGCAAATTTCTTGTTTGGTATCTGTTTAAATTCATCCAATTAAAAACAAAACTAAGCTTGCACTTTGGTTTCAATGTCTCAGTGTAATGTTGTAAGAGTGTTTCACTCTTAGTAGCAAGTGAAGTTCAATTTTCTGAAACCAGAAACCCCGGTTAAACACTGTAATGGCACATAAAGTGATTAGAGAAGGGAGAAAAGCCACTTTGCTTACGTTACAGTTTTTGCCCAAGTTATGAATTGTGACTTCTCCACTGCACTGTAATTAGTGCTCATCTGTCCCTACTTTGGGAGTTAAATTAGAAGTAAACAATTCACTTCTATCTTCCTGAATCAGCTCACTGAAGATTTGCTGGATGCAAATGTCAGTCCTAGTGTGAGCCAGAACTCTGAGCACACAGCACAATCTGAGTACAGGCGAGGTGGGATTGTGGGAATTCAGATTTAGACTGTTTAAACTCTCAAGGGAAGTTGAGAATGAAAGTCATAAATCCTTGGGTTTTATGGTGTAATTGATGCCGATAGTCAAACTGACCTAACTGGCAAGGAGAGTCTGCTACTGTTAATAATTGACAGGTGATGCTCTGCAGACAATTACAGAATGTACTGTAGCAGTGACACAAAAACTGACCAGAGCCTGTGGTTTTTGTGTTGGAGAATGTTGCGCTTTGTTCATAACCCAATGTTATGTCCACTTGTAGTTGAGAGCCATGCCTTCTTTGAATAATGTAGAAGTCTCTATCATAGTTTGTAACAACGAAATTAAATACTGGGAGGTCCGTATGTAATCTCTCAGTGAACAGTACTCCAATGAGAGGGTTGTGTTCTAATTAAAAAAAAAACCAAAACGGGTCATCAAAATGCAGTGATCACCTTTCTCTTAAGTCTGAAGCTATCTAGTGTTAGCTAATCAGTGGTGATGGGTATAGCATTCAGGGTTAACGCTTGATTTTTGAGCTTTCTTTAACAAGAGAAAGTCCGGGAACAGTTCTGGAAAAACACTGTGTGAAGGACTAGTGATATTTGTAAGGTTTCATACCTCATTAATATTTTACTGTTTTCATGGGTCTAAGCCGACTTTGAAACTTGGAACTTAAACTGCTCACTTTCATATATGGCTCTGGTTTCAGTGTTCAAAACAAGCCACATAAGCTTGCTCTTCTTGTTGAATCCAGAATTAGGAAAACTCTATTTTCCCCAGCTAACACTATAATCTTATCCTAAAACTTTTTTAGGTTCCTCATGAATCTATTTACTGTATCTTAAATTTGGGAGTCTGTCTTCCATTTAACCCCTTGAGTCAGTCTGTTAAGACCAGTCTCTTATCTTGTTAGCTTCCTGGACTCTTAAAGATTCTTGCTGTAAAATAGCAGCTACTTACGTATGCCATTAATAATGAAGGGGGGGGGGGGTATTTGAGCTCCTTGAACTTGTAGGTGATGCAGGTACAGAATGAGAAGAGCATTATCATGTCTTGCTTAGATAAAATCCAGTTACACACAATACGGAGAGAGGTACATGCTATAAATGCAGATGATTGTGACTTAAGTAGGGCTATAATGCACTCAAGCAATTTATAAAAGGATGAAAAAGAGCTTCTTGCATGAGTAAGCTGTATTCTGTCTCCTGAGATGTAACAGTACTCTGTCGCCTGAGATGTAACAGTACTGCATCAGCAGGAACTTGCAAGCAGGAGATTGCTTTCTAACACAGAAGCGGGTGTTTTAGTTTTTCCTGATTGGATGGCTGAGTCATACCATAATATCAGGTGGTTCTCTGGTTTGGTTGAATAAATCTGTGTTAATCATAGCAGTTAAAATGGACTTTTGGTTTGACCATGAGAGTAGAGTTTCTGGAGCTTGAAGATACCTGTTAACTTGCAGAATTTTATTTTTTCTAAGGAATGTATTGCTGTTGTAGTACGGTACTGCTCTATGTACTGTGTTTGGAAGAGGTGCAGAGTGTCTTTTGCACAGTTCATCTGAGAGCAGATTTTGCCTTGATGTCATCCTTTTCTGATTTGTGGGGCACTTCCGTAGTTTAACACTTACTGAACTATTAAGACACACAGTCAGTTTTACTGTCAAGCCTGAAGCACCTGAAAACATCTTTTAAGACTAAAGGGATAAAATGGCATTGAATTTCTTTCAGAATTCCAACTCTTGATATTAGGGAAAATATCTTTTCCTGTGCTATTCTACTAGCTTTCTAAACGGATTGCAGTCAGTAAGAAAGAGCAAGCTTTGTACACCTCATGGGTTACTGAATGCTCTTGAGTACATGGTGATGGTTAACAGCCATGCAAACCATATGCTCAATTTTCATACTTTACTATAGTAGAACTTTTGGATGTGTGCTGCAAAGCACAGTTTGTTTAGTATTCTGCTTGGATAGCTGATTTACCTGGGCCAGTCCATAAAAAGAAACCCGATGCTTGGCCTAATATTTTCAAGGTTTTTCTACCTTTCAGGAGGTATTGGAGAGGAAACGGTCACAACAGTTCTGGCTGTTAAGAGGGAATACTTTATCAGTTGTTAGAAATTAGAGTGTTGTTTTGGACAGCAGTATTCTACAATGTTCACTGCACTTCTCAATTTTAGATAATAGCTCAATTTAAGATGGAAGGAAGGGTGTGAGAAGAGGAGTGTGAGCAGAAGTTCTGAGTTTTATCTTTGAATGTCTGATTTGATTCCTTTGAAAACCAGGAAATACAACTTATTAACTTTTCTTTTTTGTTCTTTAAACTAGAATCCTGCAATTGCTGACATCTACACTGAGCATGCCCATCAGGTTGTAGTTGCCAAGTACGCTCCCAGTGGATTCTACATAGCATCTGGAGGTAAAGTATCAGCGTGCATGCTGCATGGGATATGTGGATAGAGCTGTTGAAGTGCTTGATGCAAAACCTTATGGCAAAACAGAGTAGTTACGCTTCACATTTATGTACAGAAGATGCATAGTTAATATACATGCTTCAATGAATTACATATATATGCCTGAGGAAGGAATAATCTGTAGTAGTTCCTCTAACCTCTTTCCAAAGTAGTGAGTTTAGTGACATGCTTGGTGTTAAAAATTATTTAAATCAAAATGAACATGAAAATGAACTTTAAATACTTGCTGTGAAGCATTAATAAGAACAAATCATTAGTGTAATGAAGACTTGTGTATGTGCAGCAGAATGGAAACGTATTTCTGAAATACAAGACTAGTGTCTTTGTTGTTAAACTTTTGATTCTTTGGCAGCAGGGGAGGGATTCTAGAAGAGCACATACCCCTTTCCTTTCCCCTCTTCCTTTCTTCCTGACTAAACTTGTCAAGACTTGTCATGACTTTTCTCGCATTGATAACCTGAACTAAAAAAGCTTTCTTTGTCATATTAACAGGGGAAGAGGCTGATTCTTAGTTTCTATGTAATGCATGTGAATCAGTCTGAGAATGGGTAACATGAATTTCTACTGCATAAGTTTCCTGGATTGTTAGCGGAAATTGCTGTAGTTTTTGATGACTTAGAACTAAACTCCCCTTCCTCCCCACCCTTTTAAATAGAAGCTTGCTTCAAATAAGGTTTTGGTTTTTTTTGGGTTTTTTTTTTTTTTTTTTTTTTTTCCAAGAGGACTGGTATGCCATTGAAGAATATTGATAAATACAATACTATAACTTCAATTTCTTAAAGATATTTACAGCTAATCAAGGGAATTTTTTAACATCTGCTTGCCATTGTCAATTAGAAATGCTTCAGAAGCAAGTGATGTGCCCAAATACAGAAATACTAAGTGATATATCTGAAAAAAAAGCCCCATTCTGAGTATGAGCTCCTTAGAAAGGGAGTCCAGACTCATGCACAGGCCTTAATAGAATTAGTAGAATTGGAGTTTCTCTTTCAGCAATTTAAAAGTTACAGTATTTTTTAAAATGTAAAATTGGCTTTTTGCACATCAGAAACATGTATTAGAATATCTTTTGGGTACTGGGGAACTCAAACTGTTTTTAACAGCGATAGCACAGCTTTTTGGGTTTTCTTTTAATTTTTTCCCCCTCCCCAGTCTGAAAGGAACCAGAGCCAGGACTTCGTTGGCTCAGTCTTGTGTGTGGACCATATGTCAAATTGAATACCTTCTTAAAATCCAGTTTGCATGCTTTATTCTACAGCTCTAGGTTTGTGCTGTACTTATCCCTCAAAATGACCATGTACTGTGTTCTTGTAGCCTTGTAGATTTTCAGTCCTCTATAGAAGAGCAGTAATATACACATAGTCTGATCTGTGAAGAAGTTTTTCAGTAATGATCGGTTTAAGGAAGCTCCTTGCTCCTCGGGGAATATTCAGTTGACTTTTTTCAGATGTTGTGTCATACCCGAGTAAAGGAGTTTAGGCTGCAGTATTTCCCTTAAAAAGTGTCTTCTGCATGTCATTTATAAATAGTTCTGTGGTACTGCTGAGCATGGGGTCTGAAGATAGTATCAGGCTGTTTAAGCTGTTTCTAAGTATAACATGTAAGATTCATTTCTCTATCTATAAATCTGCAGTAGCCGTGCAACCTGCATTAATACTTCATGTGCTTGATGAGACAGACCTTTGGCAATATGCTTTGTGGCTTTTATGGTAATTTCTCTTACTGCAGTAATAACAGATGTAGTAATGGGGCATACCACAAAGTTAAAGCTATATGTGTCCTATTAATAGGTGGAGCAAACAATTAGATTTTGAATTCTACATTAGAATTCTGCTTCAATAACACATTCTGTAAAATGGAGGATTATGTGTCTGTCCTTTTAGTAGAAGGGTGAGGGGTCCATGATCAGGGTTGCTGTATGTTTAAACTGAACTGTAAAGATGCACCAATAAATGGTGAACAGAACTCAAAAGTGTTATGTTAAGATTACAGATACCTATTTTAGCACATGGTTTGTTCTAAAACAGTGGCTTTTATAAAGGGTTCAATACACACAGAATTTGCTGTGTGGGTATAGAACAGTTCCTCTGGTAATTTTTAAACCTGGTAATGCTGCACCACAGTAATTGCTCTGAATAGAAGCAAGCTGTAGGGCTATGCAAGAAAATTTTTATTATATTAAGCCTTAAATTGTTATGACCAGTGCTGTGTCTGTGTGCTGTGTCTGCTGCTTATGACATTACCATGTTTGAATATACTGTTGGATTCCTTTGTAGTAATCCAGATAGTGTGGGTATCCACTCACAACATGAAGTGTGTACATGCTTCTGTACAGAAAAAATATACTGTTGAGTGTGCATGATTTGAGTTCTTTGGGGAAAAAAATTGCTTTGTATGTTTACATATATCTGGTATTTGGATGCAAAAAGGGTTTGCTTTGGAAGTATAAAAATCTGAGGTATTCATTTTAGTGCATCAGCCACTCTATCAGATTGCTCTCTTATTCTAGATGCTAGGTGACTTCCCAATGAGTGTGGGTAAACTATCTTGTAGTTGTTGGGGAGGAGAGGCTAGTATGGTTGTTGGTTTTGTTTGGTTTTGGATTTGGAGTGAGGGGGTTGTGTGGATTTTGTTTTGGGGTTTTCTCTGTGTGTGTAGCACAGATACTTAACACACACTGGCTGTACGTTAGAGTTCCTACCATCTTACTGTGCTTATTTTTATTTTTTTTTTTTTTTTACATGTCTGCAAAAGTTGTCTCCTTGGTGTATTTATTGCTGCCTGTCTTAAACATTAGTATCTGGTTAAAAACATAGCTCAGTGAAATGGACGTAGTCATCAGTGCTCTTCAATCAAGTAATTTGTAGTAATTGTAATAGAGTAGGAAAGGAGGTTCCCTAGTACAAGTGTTCAGTGTAGCTGAAAATCTGTATCCTGGCAGATTGCTGAGTCATGTGACTGAATCATGCTGGAACAACAATAGTTATATTCTATTTTATTATGGCAGATGTCTCTGGAAAGCTGAGAATCTGGGATACTACACAGAAAGAACACCTACTAAAGTATGAGTATCAGCCATTTGCAGGAAAAATAAAGGACCTTGCCTGGACTGAAGACAGCAAGAGAATTGCTGTGGTTGGAGAAGGAAGGGAAAAGTGAGTAACTCGTGTGTGTGTGTGTGTGTGTATGTATGCATACATATATGGTAAACCTCTGTATTCTAACAAAGCAGATTCTTTACAAAAAGCTTTTAACTCTTCAAGAGAAGAAAATCGTGGCCTGTTCCCTGTTTCAACTCCAAGTTGTGCTGTTCTGCAGGAGAATTCTTTATGTAGTCTTTGACAGCTGTAAAACTGCTTGGAGAGCACAATTGTTAGAATTGCTCAGTTTAAAAATTCTGGGGGTCTTGTTTGGTTTTTTTAGAGTTGAATATTATGTTCAGTTATAGCTGTTAGTATGCCTTCGGTATAAGAAGGTATTCTAATTCTGATAGAGTGGGAAGGGAGAACCACCAGACAGTTCTCCTCCTCCTTCTCTTACACCTCCCAGATTGAGAGGACATGACTGAAGAAGAGTAAGAAAATAAAGGAAAAAAGCGTCTGAATTTTCTCCCTCAGCAACACATCCATATTTTTAGGCTTTATTATGGTGTGAAAAACATAGTGTGGTCCTGTTCCCTGACCTCCTGCATCATTTTTTAATCACTATCATGTGCTGTGTCTTGATATTTGAGAGGATTTTGTCCTTTCATCACTCCCTCTACCTGTCCCTGGGTAGGTACTGTGTAAATTTGTTCTCCTACCTCAAACTCTGCCAGTTTCCTGTTAAGTGAATGCACTTTCAGTCTAGAATTTTGCTGAAGTGATTCTACAGATTCCCTTTATAACAGCGATGCTCTGGTAGTTTAATCCACTGTATTGATTATCCTATGGGGATTTCTTATCCCAAGTGGATTTAAAGGAAGAACTGACAAATACTGTTACAACTCTTCCTTAAACCTTTAAGTAATAATAGTTGTAAAAGTGATGTACCCAATTTAGGCTAAGTAATCAGATTAATGATCTTGTTGTAATTGTTATCCTGGCTTTCCACACTTGGTGTAGTGACTAGGCAGACAGAATAATTTATTGCTTTTTAAAACTGACTGAAGATTATCTTTTTGATCTCTGAATTTTAGAAGCTTTATACATAAAATTTCCTTGTCTGTCTCCTTCAGCAAATGTCTCCTATTGAAGATTAGATTCTCTCTCCAGCAAGGTCTCAAATAGCCTTCAGGGAACTATGAGAAGCTTGCATGAGATTAACGAGATGACCTATTTTCTTTTCTTTGAGTGCACTCAGATCTGCTGTTTGCAGATGCTCAAGGAGTTAATTTACGTGTAACTTTTATGAATTGTAGTTATTGTGTGCTTCTCTAGATTCGGAGCAGTGTTCCTGTGGGATAGTGGTTCTTCTGTTGGCGAGATTACTGGGCACAACAAAGTGATCAATAGTGTGGACATTAAACAAACGAGACCATATCGTCTGGCAACTGGCAGTGATGACAACTGTGCCGCTTTCTTTGAGGGACCGCCATTCAAGTTCAAGTTTACAATAAGTGTGAGTTTAAGTTGAGCTGTAGCTCTGCTAAAATGTGCAGCAAGTTGACTAAAAGCTTTCCAACAAGCTTGCAGTTCTTGTCACAGCTAGCTGTCATCGCAGAAGTTCTTAGCTCCCCCATTTGAGGCATAGTTGGTGCCAAGTGGCCTTCTTAAACCTGTGCATAACTGAAGGCTTGTCTTAGGCCAAGAGAGCTGAAATAAATGATTGATTAAGAAGAAAACGTGAAGGACTTTTTCCAAATTTCTGTCTTGACTCTTCACCCTCTTCCATAACAGCAGAAGCAGGATGTTTCATTGGCCCTATTGTTGCTTTTGGAGCGTTGCTTCCCAGTGCAGACGTGTAGAATTTCCTAATACTTTCCAAGGTGTTTGATTCAAGAAATCTGGTGGTGTGACTGGAATTTTCCAATCTGCTTAAGAGTGCTCAAATCTGAAATCGCATGGCAGTTTAGAAAAGGGTGAGTGTAGATATTTGAGAACATAACTGATTTCTGTAATGAGGAATGGGTATGTAACTTCTGTGGTCAGTTTTTGTTTCTGCATTTCTTTTAACTTTTTGTTTCATATTCTATGAGTTAAAATCTCTTAAGTAAATGAAACAAAGCCAGGAATTACCACATGTAAGACATTCATCATTACTAGAGGCCAAAGAAGATAAAAAGCCAAAAGCTACTGCAACTCTTTTTGATGGCAGAAGACATGTCTCTTGCCTCAAAAAAAAACCCAACAACAAACCACAAACCCAAACAAACCAATGATTGCAGAGATCCTGGATGTTACTGCAGTAATAAATTCAGAATATTTAGTTCTTGTTTTATTTTTAAAACAATAGTTGTAGGCTTTTTATTTTCTTAAATATGTGCCTTGAGTACTCTTCATACCCTGACTTTTAGTAAGGATTCCATTGCAGTTCTAGAAAAGGAATTGTTCTGAGCTCTGCAATCCAATGAAATGATGTAGTTGCCTAATATATTTCTGAACTTAAGCTGATACTTGTATTTTGCTAAGCTAGTTCTTTGTGAACTCTCAAGTCTGACTTGCTTACCAGTGCTGCTTAGACTTGTATGTGATGCAGTCTTCCTTTTAAAGTGATACTTGAGTTGATATATCTGATTCTAGTACAGGCTGTTTTATGGTTTAGAGCTTGAGGTATCATCAGGAAAAAGAAAGTAAAGTTAAAGTAGGTTAGAACTTGCCTTTCATAATACTAAAAATAGTCTCCCAAATCTCTTTGCATTGGCCTCATTGTGGTGCTTCCCTATTTAACGCGTGTTTTCTAGTTAGCATGGTTTGAATAGTCTCCTACTTGTAAATAGTCTATTTGGGGAGCATACATCAGTCTTGCCTGGCTACTTCACAGAGCTACCATTAATGCAGTCTCCCAGAAATGAGATTCCAGTACAATAATGATCTGTTCATGCCTGTGTTTTTTTTTTTTTATAATAAGAAAGATGAAGTGTTGTCCTATGTATAAAACTTACTTGTGCAATGAAGCAAGAGTTAAAATGTCAACAGTGTTGCAGAAGAAGACAGTGACCAGAGGGAAAAATCCCATGTTTGCATCTAGCCTGCAGCTGAGGGTTTTATTTCCTGCCTGTCCCTGAAACTGGGTACTCATTCATGTGGCATAGTACTAAGTTGTTTGAACTACATGGGTACTGATGCCACAGTTCCTTCTCTGGACTATTCTCAATCCCCATGATCCTCTTCAGATAGAGGCTAGACTTGCTCTGTAGCAATTCTCTACAGCAGGCATCTTCCTGCACAGCTAATTTACGGCTCGCATGTAAGAAAACTTCATTGTTACTGGATTGTCTTCTATGTAAAAAGGGTCTGTTCTTATTTTGTGTTCTGATTCTTACTTTTTTTCCCCTACAGGACCATACACGGTTTGTAAACTGTGTGAGGTTTTCTCCTGATGGGAACAGATTTGCTACAGCTAGTGCAGATGGCCAGGTAAAAACAAAGGAGTGCTTTGTGTAGCGATTTTAGCACAAGAAGACTTTCTTGTGCATTTTGGGAATAGAGTTAGTATTGTAAAATGTGTGTTGCTTTTTTTTCATGCCAAGAAATGATTGGCTTAAACTTTTAAATATCCTCCTATGAAACTGTAACAACTGACAACCAGACTGTTCTCACTCAGCTTTTTTCCCTGTGCTATCTCCCAAGCATATTACTTCTCCTACAGGTTATTTTGGCAGGAGCATATTAGACTTTCGGGATATATATGTCCTTATGACTGTGAGAAGTCTGGTTGAAATACTGAACTCATGGGTAGCCCCATGCAGACCCCCTGCTGATAAGGGCAGGTTTGAGAATGATACTGTTACCATAGGTAGCTCTTCCTCCTAAGGAGGCACATTCCCATGGCTGTAGTGCTAAGCGTCACAGCAGGAGCCAAAAATCTAACATCTTCCAGAATTTCAAATGTTAGGATCCAATGTACAGAGTAACTTGCTGTGATTATTTACAATCTGCATCTCATTTGTTTAGTCTCACA